AAGGACCATATGTCATAGAAAAAATAACTCAGGCTGTAGTGGTGTTAAAAGCCAGGAATGGTGAAACATGCTCCGCAAACATTGACCAGATAAAACCATACTATGACCGTAATAAAATGCAAATATTTAAAGATCTTTTGCAGGATCCGGCACGGCAGGCACTGCAGACACTGCAGGCGCAAGCTCCAGAGGTGGAACAACGACAAGCACAAGGGCAAGCCATTAGGAGGCAGAGCAATTGAAAAGAAAGTTTCCCCGTTGGAAAATTGAAGGTAACAAGAAAAAGAAGCCGTTCCACCGACCAGAAAAGAGAGCGCACGACCACCCCCAGAATGAAGAAGGGAGAAGTACGAAGAATGCAAAGAGAGCCAGGAGAAATAACGGCAACTATAACCCGGGTCCCAAACGGAAGATCTACTCATCGGACAGGACTCTACGCAGCAAATGTCGCCGAATTGCGGAAGGACCACCAGCGGCGGAGGAAAAGATACAAGGAAAATTTGAACGGCCAGCAACGAGATCCAAGCAGGAACGAGAGAGAAGTGTCCCGGTTCCGCCAAGACCAGCGGCCATCAAACGGCCAAGACCACAGGCAGAGGCGAAAAAGAAGGTATTCAAGGGTGACCGAACTGGAGGGAAAAGAAAGCTCCTAGAGGAAGGGACTGAAGGGCGAGCCCGCACAAGAAGGAGAATAAATCAAACACGAATCTTCGCTACCTTCCAGGACTGGGCAGAGAAAAGAATGTCCGAATATCACAAAGATAAGTAAAATTTTATGTTACTTTGCAAACTTAAGTTAATCTTTCATTCTTACTGCAAGTGGCAGATTTCAAGACGTTTTACCTCATGTGAGGTCTACCTTTATCGCCAAAAAGGCAAGAAATGAGTTGTTACCTATTTTGGTATTATGTTTTTCAATTACTCGCGAGTAAAACTAAAGTTGATGTATAATAGGAATGTGTAAATACTTGAATATTGTAAAAGTTATTGTATAAATTTTATTTAAATGATTCTGGCAAGAAAGAAGTTTTAGTCTGAAAGACTTTTGAAATGTAGTATTTCAATGTAGAAGAATTGGCACTTGCTTGGAAAAGAATAGAAGTTAACAATGTACTACTAATGTATGTTTTAAAATGCGTAAAATTAACGGCATGTTAATATGTTCTTATATACAATGTGAACTGTTATTTTAAGCGTTAAGAAACACTGTGATATGTTAAAAGTGAAAGTAATGCCAAAAAAATTTTAAACTTATTCGTGTGACTGTAAAAAGAGCCAAATTATTGTGTATATGTGTTAAAGGTTGAATGAATGTAGTTAATCTCTCTGACGCTACACTTCAGAGTTAGCCACTTTCAGAATAGTACCTCAGGGTTTAGAGATGAAGATAAGGTGTGTTACGAGGTCTTGTTATGTTGAATTTTAACACGTTAGTGTTTTGATTGTAGGGTGCAGTGTTGAACACTTGTACATAAACACATTCGTGTTTGGTGTTTTCTTTTACAACACATGTCAGAGAGCACGGGGAGAGATAATTAAACAAAGTCATGAATGAAATAAGAATGTTAAGAGAAATATAAATATTCATGTGACTTGCCATTTAATTGTGTAACATTTCATTAAAAAAGTTTTCCTTCCAGATCTCTGGAAGGAACCAGATTTCAACTAAAAGCTCCTGTTTAGATGCAGTACAGATGAAAAGTAATTGTCCATGGAGCTGATAATGTAAAAACAATTTTTTTTTAATTTCTAGTTTCTAGTGAGGAATGTTTGTAAAAGATTGCACTCGCGTTAGATTCTAGAGCTAAAAGTTTTCAACAAGGTCGTTTTAACCCTCAGTTTCAAACTAATTAACTCTGGCGGGAAGTATGTAAGGATCTTAAGTTTTACTAACGTTTATTTTATTTTAAATCTTTACTATCACTTCTTATTTTCTACTTCCGGCCAGAATTAAAAGCTTTAACTTATTTATGCAAATTTGTCTGGCGAACGCCAAGAACTTAAGTTGTGGCTTTTTGTCAAGCAAGAGAGGAAGGAGTTAGTAGAAGCAGGCCGCTTGCCTTAGCAGTTTTTACTCGGTTGCTGGTTGCCTTCCAGGCCAGAGGTTTAATCCTCTTGATAATTTTAAACGTATTGTAGTGTTAACAGTTCTCTGTACTACATACGGCTCCCTGTTAATATACGGCCAATCTTCTCGGAGGCCCTTGTTTGTTACTCCAAAGTTAAGTTAGAGTTTAGTTAATATTTTTATATTGTTACGTTCAGACCACAAGTGGTTGGTCTCTGTATTCCGAAGTCCGGAAATCATTGTAAAGAGTGAAAAATAAAGGGTTTCGTATACCCTTCCTGTGTATCTTGTCTACTTCCCACATTTATTGAACATAGCTTTAGTAAGCTCCCTGTTCCGAGTCAGGTTCTTGAATGTTCCCAAAGCAAGTAAGGCGGAACACTGAACCTGATAACATTACAGACGGCCGATAATTCTACCACATAAAAAATCATTCAAATGCGTCTTTTGTATCATAACTATTCGGTTATTGCACTGAAATGCTTATAAAGCGTCTGCGAACAATTTTACTTCTTTGCCTGTATTCCTTGTATATCCTTGGGCCCACCAGCGGCCGAGCGGTAACGTCGCTGAACACTGGTAGTTCGGTCTGAGGTTCGAATCCCGCGAACGGGCTGGCTGCATGGGTGTTTTCGTGGTTTTCCCCATGTGTAACGTGTATACGAGCCAGTTTCCCTTAGAAAGTCCTCCACGAAGGCATCCCTCCCCTTAGGCAGATAGCCCTCGAGGCTTTGCCCTAATCACAGACACACACACACACTCCTTGTATATCACTCTCTTACACTCTCGTCATTGTGACGTACCATCGGTGTCATCTGGTTACTTCTGAAATTTGCATATGATTCTTGAAGATGTGTGTAGTGATTTTACAGGTGATATATTTATTTTAGAGTTCGATTTCCGCGTGACTCCGAATTATCCTTAATTTATGGACATAAGTGTATCTAACCCTCCCCAGCCACCCAATTATGCATGTAGTCCTTTTGATACAGAAATAATGCTACAGTCATGTGCAGATCTATTTTTAAACACATAAAATAATGATGCGCCTTGAAATATGAAATCGATGTAATCCATTTTTTTCAAGGATTGTTTGAAAGACAGGCCTTATCAGCATTATCCAATCAAAAGTGATCAAAGGGTTTCTGATATGCAAATCAAGACGCTACGTTACCTGACTGTGAATCAAGCATTAAGTGCAAAGTGAATATCTGAATGAATTTATGCTTTACAGAGTTTGATTTTAGTATATAAGGTCTCAAAAACGTATTATTGTGGCTCCAAAGTATCATTTGGAAAATTTGTGAAGTTGTGAATCATTGACCATTTAGAAGCAAAGTAGACACTCATGGAAGCAGTGAAGTGTACGAATATTTTAAAACAGACAGTCTTCTATGCTATAGAAATAATTTTAAATCTCTGGAATTGTAAGGAGGCCTAGAAACAAATAACAACTGCTTCTTAAGTTTGAAAATAACTGCCATTGTAACACGCAGTCCACTGCTCGGCAGCTTGCAGCTGCAATTGGAACTGCTGTATCACAGCTAACTGCATACAGAAAGCTTAATGAATATGGCCTTTATTATGCCAGAAAGCTAAGGGTATGTGTTTCACCTGTCTTCACAACAAAACAAGGATGGCTTTAACTAGTGCAAAGAATATAAAGAACTGGAGAGAACACCAACGGAGTCGGAGCACACCGGAGCCATTAAATAAAAGGGCTCTGGCACTTTTTTATGTAACTGAAGGATAATTTTAGCACAAAACTCTTTGGATCTTGAAAATTTTATTTTAATAACAAGTCTACTTCAAAAACCGATTTTAACTGAATGCATGTTTGTCTTTCTGTGGGAAACTAGCCCTTTGATAATCAAGAATAGAAAAGCTCCTGCATGTTAGAAACTTTTTCTCCAGTGCAATTAACTTATGAAAGTGGGTTTTTAGTTCTCGAAAATACTAGAAGTTGAACTTTTGGAAGGGTGTAATTAAATACGGGGAGCGAAAACTTTCCTTGCACAGAACCTTACTTTTGTACTCAGTTTACAACTCAGACTTCGGAGGACAATTCCCAACTCACAAATCTTGTTTAGTCTCCACAGGAACTCAAATATTTCCAAGTTGTAGATTTTAGCTGGTGATATATAGACATAGATATATATAAAGTTCCAATCTGAAATGGCCATGAAAAGAAACGTACTGGACCAAATGTCATCAAACTTAGTAAACGTGTAAAGGAGGTTATAGGAATTTATTTTCTATATATATAAAAAAAAAGTTCAGAAAGTCGCCACCCGGGGGTAAATGGCGCTGTATGCAATATTGTTAAACGGAATAAGGGTTGGAATCTAATTTAAAAGATTAAAAGACTGCTCTAAGAATAATTTTCATATATTCAACCTACCATTTTTATATTTGTTGAATGTTGGATCGCATTTAAATCCTCCCAACTCTAAGAGCAACCCTGACTACTAATCCATAGTACATCGGACTAGGTTATTAAGAAGCTCGAACAAATTTTTAAATCATAAAATTAATCAAGTTATGAAATCAGTTAATTATTCATATTTGCATCTTTTACAAATTTTACAGCCTGTCTTTCTCTTTGTTCCTTGAAATGTCTTATTAATGAAAGAGATGAGACAAAGTGTCTTTTGAAAATTCATTTCAAATCCATTTTTTCTTGAAGCCAGCATGATATCTAGCAAGTGACTGAAAACTGCTACTCTAGCTAATTCGAATAAAGTACATGTAATACATAGGGCCATAATAAATAGATAGAAAGCATTCATTTGGCCATTCCATCTATTAGTGCTGCAATGATCATATTATAAAATACAGTTTAAGTAAATATATTTCATACTCATCCATATTTATTGAATTTTTTGGTTATCAATTTAATTACAATTTAATTCAGTTACATTTATGTACTTACTTCTTGCATCAAAATGTAACAGTAAGGATCATTTTTATCTTGTAAAATTCCGGTCACAGCTTGTTTATCAATTAAGCTTGGAAGATTTTCTTTGATTTCAGAGATAATCACAATGACCTACAAGATAATTAACTGAATAAGATGTTGCATTTTTAACAGAAAAATTTATAAGAAAAGATTATTGCACTGAAAGTGGTACAATAGTATTTAAAATCTAGATTTGTTTTTATGGAACATTATAAAACATGGAATTTAAAATAACTTAAATTGGCATAGCAAATATAATTTAAATAACTATAGATTAGATTATATATGAATATATTAATAATGCATAGCATATGATGCACAGTATATAATATTTATAATACATAATAACAACATATCTTATACATTCTTTTTGTTTTAGTCTTTATAAAATTCGTGGAAACTGAGGCGTTCATACCCTATCTCCTTCGATCTCCAATTTCTGTGAAAGGACTTAAAAAAATTTAGGTGTCTCTAAGTGCAAAGACATTATACATTTATGATCATCTGGGATTAAATCCAAATCCAGCAGCAAAAAGCAGCAAGTTTTGTTAAACAGTACCATCGAGGATGGCATCAGGTAAATACTTAGCAGTAATCAAGAGGAGCAAAAGCTAGATTTTATGACTCTAATGCTGAAATTTGATAAAATCTAATTATGTGTTTTTCTTCACCCATGAGAATATACAAGCTGGCATCTTAAAATCGACTGAAAAATTGAAATTAAAAGTATGTAAATACAATATTACTTATTTGAAAAAAATAAGTAATGTTTTGCATTGCTTTTACGTCAATTTTTACTAATTGAATTTACTTGAAACTAACTACTTATTTGAACTATAATAATAACTACAAATTCAAATAACTACTTATTTGAACAAAAAATACTTTTTAAATCAATAAACTTGTAAATTAACTTTAATTTACAATTAATATTTAATTAATTATTTTAATCAATTAACTTATTTTCAATCAATAAACTTGTAAATTTTTAAATACATAAAATTAAGTCTAAATAATTTTGATTGCAATAAATTCTGCTTAAATTGCCTAATATTCGTTATACATTTATTCATACATATAAATGCATATCTTTCAATAAAAAGGTCTGACTTTGAATTGGTTCAAAATAAGTAATTTACCTGATTTTCCATATTTCCACTTTGTGTAAAACTTTCATTTTGAAATTTTGACATGTTCTTTAATAGTTCCTGTGCATGATGAATGCGGTATGGAATTTCAGCATTACAATGCTGTTCAAATACTTCTGGAACATCAACAGTTGGTAAATTTTTAATAAACTGCACATAAGAACTCATTGGCCCTTCTTCTGGAACATAGTAATGACTAACAGATGATAAACTAAAAATTGTACAATATTTTCAAAATGTTAAAATAATTACAAATACAAATTAATTAACAAGTTGAACTTATTTTTAAAGCATCATAATTTACACGAAAATTTTAAAATGTATATCAGATCAATTTTAATTTTCTATATAATTCAGAATGAAAAGATAAAATTTGTGTAATCACTTGCCTATTAATTTTTTTATGTGAGTCTTCTCATTGATAATTAACAAAATATAAATTAATAACAAATATTATAATTTTTTAATTTTATTATTTGTATTTAATTCATATAAATTACATAATTATTCATCACTCATTAGTAAATTAGTAATGGTTTATATAATTTTATGAATAATAGTTAAAAAAAGTACTGCTATTTCTCACAAAGATATAAATCAGTCAGAAAATTTCAAAAATTTTGCTGGAAGAAGTAAAAATAAAATTTATAACTACTATTCATAGACTTTTTTATTAAGTAATATTTTATCAATAAAATTTATATGATTGAAAATGAGCTTTCTTGAAATAAATATGAAATTCCTTTCAAATAATCAATTAATAGCATCACAAAATGCTGTATTTAATGAGACTAAAATTTACATTTATATATTTTGGGCACTGAAAATACACTCTGTAGCTTTTGCCTTGCTTAATCCTTTGAAATTCATTGTTATTAGTCATTTATCAGTAATACAAATCTCCAGATTTCAGTTACAAGATATTTTGCTTATATTTGTAGTCCAAGGAATGCACAACAGGGTAACAATGTGAAGATTAAAATAAAATAATAAAAAAGAATTAAAGAAAATAACTAAAAGTAATTATTTGTACAAATAATTCATATATGCTTTTTAATCCCATATAATCTTTCTTTACTTCATTCCTAAGGAACTATCATGTAACTTTTGCCTCTTAATTTTCAAGGAGATAACAGAAGTGAAAAAAAATGCATGTAAATATGGTACGTAGACATATACAAAAAGACAGATAAAAAATTAAATAATAAAATTTATTAACGCATTGTTGGCAGAAGACATGAATTTGTATCTTTTGCTATTTGACTAGTTGCAAAGGGAGAGAGATGAGAGCTTGTATTTTTTATTATTTGATTGTTTTCGATGTAAGATACTAATTCATGTTTTTAAACTGTAAAAAAAATAATATTAAATAAATGTTTGGGGTTCTGTAATAAAGTGAGATAATAAGTTTATATAACCTTACCTATATATATTTATATTACATAACTGTAACAAGTTTATATTATATATGCTTTCTACTGTTCTTTGACGAGCTCTGGATAACAATCTACTTGAATGATTATCTGGTAATATGCAACACCACATACTGAAACCATGTATACGTTAAAAATAGAAGAGGAAACACGTGGTGCATCTGTAAATTTTATATGATGCCTTTTCACCGATGAAATGCTTTTCTAGCATACTACGCTCCCCCCAAAAAACATTACTAAAAATAATTAAATGTATTGATTATTTTTTGTTATAAAATATTGTACTTTTGAACTGTTTATTATTATTATTATTATTATTATTATTGTTGTTATTATTATTTCATTACTTAAACGAATGTGAAAATTTATACCGTAGATTTTTTCCATCATTGTGTCAAAAAGTGTTTTAAGTAGAGGCTTTTTTCTGTCTCACCAAAAAATACTCTATCACTATTCAGTCAAAAGTTCATATTTTTATTTAAGAATTACTATGAACGGATAAATTTACTTAAGTATAAATGCTTATGAATAAATATTAAATACTTACGGAAACTTTATATTAGCATAAACCTCATCACAAAAATACTGTTCATAGTATGTTGTCAATAGAATCTCATCTCTATCATCCGTTAAATGACCGCCATAAGTAATTTCAATTGCATCTTTTAATGCATCCCAGGGTGTATCTTTATAATAATTTAAATATGTTTCGAATAGCATTTTAGCCATCTGCAAATAAGTTAAAAAACTTAATTAAAATGTGTAAGTAAAAAAGTAAATTTATATTGCATACTATTTTACAACACATTGCAGAGACATTAGGTTATTTCGAGCAGGAGAGATGAAAAATGAGCAACGCCTTCGCCGGGAATCGAACCGCAGACCTCTGGATACGCGCCCAGTGTGCAGGCCACTACACCACGAAGGCACGCTAAGAAAGCGGTAGAAATACCTTATATACTCCCCCTTTTAAAGAGGACTGGGGTTTTAGGGAACCTAATCACCAAATCCTGGGTGTGGAGAATCATGATCCACCGCGCTTTTAGTTCGGGCGCCATTGTAGAGACATTAGGATTTTTTGGAAGCAGGAGAAGTGAAAAATGAGCAACGCCTTTGTCGGGAATCAAACCACGGACCTCTGGAATACGTGCCCAGCGTGTAGACCACCACACCACGAAGGCATGCCAAGACGGCGGGAGAAATACTTTATATACTCCCCCTTTTAAAGGGCGACTGGGGTTTTTAGGGGACCCAATCGCCAAATCCTGGGTGGGAGAGTTATCATCCACCACCCTTTTAATTCGGGCGCCACTTGTAAAGAGACATTAGGTTATTTCGAAGCAGAAAAGATGAAAAATACGCAACGCCTTTGCCGGGAATCGAAAAATGGACCTCTCAAATACGTGCCCAGCGTGCAGACCACTACACCACAAAGGTACGCTAAAAAGGCGGGCGAAATACCTTATAACATTAATAGCAAAGGTGAACTAATGATAATGGAACTAAATAAAACACTTGGTTATAATTTTAGCCTTGCATATTTAAAAACCTCAAGATACCAAAAGATGAAATTTTATGTAATCAAGCTTTAAAAAGTATGGTTAATTTTTCAAGAGTATTCATTTTGCCCAAATGTTAGTCGAAGATTGAGCGTTTTTGAAGATTTGAGCGTAACTTAATATTTGTTTAGTGATAATATTCATACATTGTTTCTCATAAAAATATTTCAAAATGTACAGATTAAGTTGAAGATTTGAATAGACACCATAAAAGAATTTCAAATTTAACATATTACCTGCCAAGGTACATTCAGTATAAAATAACAAACTGATGTGTTTTTACGCTTTGTTATAGAATAAAACTACAATTATCTGGGACTCAGTTCAGTCCATCCAGATAATTGGCAAATTCAGATAATTAATTGGCTTATGACTCTTCTGTAGGTCGAATACATGCTTATCATAACAAAGGTCAACAAATTTTATTTTTAGAACAAAGAATTAAAAAACAATGAAGTATACTTTTTTCTGTCTTAAACAAAATGCACAACACACATATTTCAATAAAATTAAATGACGACTTTTTAAATTTCCATAAATCCTTTTAGTACAGAACAGACAATACTTTTCTTGAGAATTTGATCATCCAGTTTCACAGTGGGGAAAATTTCAAGCTAAACAGTGGTTCAATGCCTCATATACTAAAATAATTCCCTAAAATCTAACCGAAAGAACATAAAATCACATACAGAAAATTATTTCCATAATATTAAATAGAAAATATCAGATAAGTAATCGATCCAAGGAAGTGTGCACAGGTTTATTCCTGTATCATCTTCTCTTTAATGTTCATTTCGATTTTGTGGTTGTTATTTATTGGAGTTATTATTTTAGTGCTGCATTGATTTTCCTTAGATAAAAGTTTGGCTTTGTGTTCAGAGGGTGTAGTGTCTAAGACGTGTATTCCATGGGTAGGGAGCAATGTCAGGAATTTTAGCAAAATTATACGCAAAATCGTAATATCTGTTGTATAATTTAACATAAAATACTCCAAGAGAGCGAAGTTTCAGCGGAAAAAATAATATTACAGGTATACCATTTAAGATTCAGGTAAATGACTATCTCGTTAAGGCGACTAATTTATGTCGCTAAATTTGGGGAGAATTCGCCTAAAGCCTCCAAACTGGCGATCAATCAGCGACATTTTGGTCTGATCCCTGTGTAACTGTAATTTGTCTAATTCCTTAGCAACTGTAACTGTATATATGAAACTGTAAATTCCAGAAGAATCGCCTTCCAGAATTTCAAGAAATCGAAGGTATAGAAAATTTCTCAATGAATGGGGAAAACTATGTAAGAACGGAGAAAGCATTAGTTCTCAGTTGTTTAGTACAGATTTGAGCCCGGAGTATTGAGAGATCTCAGTACGAGCTTCATCTTTTAGAGGAGCTTTACATTGTGTTGTGTTTAATGTTCTTAGCAGTTTGATGTGTAACTAGTAGCAGTGATCTGAGTAAAGCCTTACGAGTACTTCTGTGAAAGGTTCCAGAACTGAAAAGTATTTATTTTGGGAAAACAAATTTTATCAAGCTATCATCGGTACTGCGTGCATTCACTCCGTTACGAAACCGTACGCACACGACAATATTATTATGAATTTTGTACACAGAGAGATGATTTTGGTGCAATTATACGTGAAATTGTTGTATTTTTCTATGTAATGTAACGCGAAACCAATTTTAAGATAAAGCTATGCCAAAAAAAAAAAAAAAAAAAAGAATAGAGGGGCAAGAGCATTTAACATTGAGTAAATGGGTATATCGATAATTTGGCGAGAAATCGCTAAAAGTTACCCAATTTGGCGACCATTTCTCAACATTTTGGCCCGGTCCCTGTGTCACCGTAATATGCATTGAAATTGAATAAATGTAATTGACCACTAACTTAAATGTAACCTTAATTCCACCCTTGTATTGCTTTCCAGTAATTTCGAGAAGCTGCAAGTGCTAGAAATATCTCGGCGCCCGGTTGAAAACTATTTAAAGACGAAGAGTGAGCATATGCTCTCAGTTTCTTAGTTGTTGTTGTTGCGAGTTGATATGAATCCGAGTTGGCTTTCTCTTTAGATGCACTTTGTATTGCGTTGTGTTTAACGTTCTTAGCTGTTTGAAGTGTAATTACTGATTATATTGTGTGATACTGTGAACACTTTACGAATATTTCTGTGGAAAATTGCAGAGCTCTGAAATATTTCTTTTGATAAAATTAAATTTTATTACCCTATTATCAGACTTGTGCATTCAATCTATTGCGAACCCGTACGCACACAACAGTATTATACCTCAATACAATATGGTTTGATGTTTGTTAGAGGAAAATTATACTAAATTTAAAGTATTGAACCAATGTTTATAAAAAATATATTACGCCCTCCATCCCAAATTAGTTGCTACATTTAGCTCGAAAATTTTGTCCCTAATTAGTTGCTACAATTAGATCGAAAATTTTGACTCTGAGAGTTGCTAAATTTGAAGTAGTTGGAGTCATAAATAACTTTCGATGCATTTTAGTAGATTGACACCACTAAAATTAAACAATGTACTCCAATGAATATAACGCTGTATACTAGGTTTCCATTCTCAGTTTTTACTCTCCACAAATGAAGCACTTATTTTGGGACAATTCTTTCGAAGCAAATTTACAGGTTCGCACGCTCTTAAGCCACGCCCCATTTCCTGAGGACTCTACTGCAAGTATATCAGAAAAATCATGTTTATGTTATCATTATATATCATGTCTATATCATACCGTCAGTATATCAGAAAGTCTGTCTGCCTAAGGGCAGGGATGCCTTCGTGGAGGACTTTCTAAATGAGGTTCACTGAATTCACAATTCATTAACTAGAAAATAGTTTTAAGCAATAACTGATCGAAGAGTCCTTACAAAATGAGGCGTGGTTTAAGGGTGTGCGAACCTTGGATTTTTAAAAATAATTTGGTACTGATTTAAGGAGGGAAAGCTTGGTAAATAAATGTTGTTGATTTATAGCGTAGCACCCTGAAATTTCTAAAAAATATTCAAAACAAATCATAAAATCTTCAGTATCAATAATCAGTACAAAAGTATTCAAATGTAGCAACTAATTTGGTATAGAGGGAGTATATATTTGACTTAAACCGAACCCATCAAAATGATGGATTTAAATTTTTAGTAAAAAAAAAAAAAAAAAAAAAAAAAAAAAAAAAATCCAATTTTTCTAGTGTTAGATTAATTACTAGAGTAATCATAATTAAAATAAAATAAAATATTCAAAATTTAGATCCTTAAAAATATCTACATATAATAACAATAATAATGAAAGCAAAGTAGTATTGCGTGCGTACGGCTTCGTAAGAGGTAGAATGCACAAGTCCGGTAATAGGTTAATAAAATTTACTCTTATCAAAAGAAATGGATCAGAACTCTGGAATTTTGCTCAGAGATATCCGTACAAGTGTTCACAATATTACGCCATATAAAAAGTAGTTATACTTCAGACTACTTTGCACCACTGAGAGGGCTTCTGACCTAAGGTGATACTTAACGGAAATAGCCCACCCAGTGAAAATAATTTATTGATACTTTTACAGAGATAGTGTCAGATAGTAGATAGTAATAGTTTTATACATACTTTTTATAGAGTTTTTACAATGAATATTTTTGCATGAGAGTGATATTTTTACATTACTTTTACATGACAGTAAAACATTACTTTTGAATGACATTATTTACAGTCTTCTTTGCATTTACATGCTTTTCAGATGATCAATATACAGTAGTTCAATGTTTCAGATGATCTTGACTGAGGTCTTGGTTGATTGAAAAGAGGGTCTTGGTTGATTGATATTGAGTATTACTAGGTTATTGGATTCGACGAAGTCGATTACAGATGCAGACAATTACATTTATTCAGTTTCAATACAAATTACCGAGATATCCATTTATTTAATGTTAAATGCACGTGCTCCTGCATTTTTACTCTTCCTGCATAGCTTTCTCTTAAAATTTTTCTCGTGCTGCATTGCACGAGGAAATACAAAATTTTAATTATAATTATACGAAAATTACATATCTATATTAAAGAAACATAAAAGGTACCTTTTAATTATCCGCAGCCGTCTCAAAAAGTATTCATGAGGGAAAGCCGTATATTGTCAAACTAGTTATGTGGCAACCCGTGATGTCGCCAAAACGTATTTATGTGGTAACCCATGTATGCACACTGCACATACCTGTTTTGGTCAGTACGCAGTGCCCATGCTGTATGATGCCGAGTTTGTGGAAAACTCTGAATTTTTTAAAGCAAAAACAGATCACTGTGTCCACAGGGAGAAAAACAGCACGAAGAAAAGAAGGGTTTCTCGAAAAGGGTTATGTTTATTTTCTTGCTTTTTCAATTTTATTGATTGCTGCATTAATGGAATTCTTAATGCGTCGCCGTTTTGAGAATGCTTTCGCGCATTAACTTAATGAAAAATTAGTTGCCAATGATTTCGCAAATGCTCTTCAAATCTGTCAACCAATCGTCGACTTTTCGCTAGGGGTACGAATAATAAAAAAGTATCGAATGAAAATAGGAAATGAAATAATACTATAATACCTTTTAAAAAGTGTAAAAAGAGAAAAAAAAAGAATCATACAAAGATTAAAAAAAGTAAGCAAACTCTACACAATATTTGAATTGCTTTTGTGAAAATCATACAAATACGGGTTGAAACAAGGCTTGAGCCTTGTTTCCGATGGTACATTAGGCATCACAGGCCTATGTATCACAGAGCCATGTTAAGCTCCGCCTTAATTTTGATGGAATGCTCTGGAGGTGGTTTTAGGTTCTCCGATCCCTTGCCCTACTGCCAACAACTCAAGAGGACTTTAGGCTCGCCGCATATTTTGAATGCTCTCCTTGCCACTTACAAAGCTCCATGCCTTCTTTGGGATTTGAGCACAGGTTTGCAGCATCCAGTTTTATTAACCACTAGCAGCTACGCGGCCAGCCTTCGTCTGGCTTTTAAATGTACCGGAAAAATGCCAAACGTTAAATTAAAAAACTGCGCAGAATTTTACTCCGCAGAAAACTTCATCAAAAAAAAAAAAAAAAAAAAACTGAAATGTTTCAGATTTTAAATTACGTCCAAAGGTGTTTTTTTTTTAACATTTTGTGTGTTACCTTTCTTTATTAAATACCATGTTCTTCGCACTTAAACCATAAAGATTCAGCTTAAGATTGTTGCTTAATTAACCAGCAATATCGCAAAATAATTTTAAAACTGAGCCATATGCTTTAGAATTTCCGATACAGAGTCTCGCTCGCTGGAGATAAAAATGTTTTTTCTGTACAAACGTTGCCACTGCTCGCTTTGGAAATCCCTTGGAGTCTTGTTAATTAAAAATCGTCAAAGTTAAAGTTTTAAAAAATAGGAAATCGAGATCATAAAACAAATTTTCAAATTTCAAATTTGGTCTTCCACATGCTCATATTCGTTGGAGGAATTACGTTATTCAAAATTCGATGACTCTATGTACCGTTGTTTGTTTTATCACAATACGAGAAATATACATACATTTTATGCAGATTTTTCATTATTTAATTTCTTCAAATATAATGCAGGACTCTAACATTTTGTGGCAACAGTTTGAAAAGTGAACCGACATTTATGAGTCCGACGCAAAATGCCAAAACGAAACTAATAGTCCTTCGGGATTCAAATCCCTTTGGACAAAAAAAAAAAAAAAAAAAAAAAAAAAAAAAAAAAAAAAAGTATTACATATAACAAAATTACAATGAAATAAGCAATATCCCTCAATACAAATATTAATTATCCTAATAAATTAATTAACCAATTTCTCGTTGTCTTCTCTGGACAAACATCCAGTTTCCAAGAGAAACATTAAATTTAAAAAACTGCAAAGAATTATCGCCCTCATTTTCCAAGTGGTAACAGTGCTGATTCTCAATAGTCAGCAGTCCAGTATACAACTGAATGAAAAACTGTTGCAAAAACCGGATTTCTAAAAGAATGAAACTATTCAAAATGATGCGATAAAATCGAAAATATAAAATAAAAAAATATCTTATTCGAATTTAAAAAAAAATCGCTTAAAGGTGCACTGGCTCTTGTCTAGATGCACCTATATACCAAATTTCGTAGCCCTGGGTCTATTAGCTTACGCGCAGCACGAACAAAAGGCACATAGACTCTTTCTTTTATTATTATGAAGAGATTTTATCATCTGTTTGGCTACAATATGAAGAAGGGAGATTAAAAGCATAATGAAGTACTTAAATGATTTTCTAAATGTGATCAAAAATATTCAAATACGTTTCAAACGTTTTTCATATCTTTTAAGGATTGAACAATAAGTTTTCCATTATTAAAAAAATTCTTATGTCGTAAATCGCGTTGCGGCAAAAATATGCCTTTATATATAAACTTTTTATAACGGAGTCGTGTTGGAGAGGGTCATATAAGAGTCCTTTATAGTGCAACAAATATTTATTAACAGGTTTCAGTTACACACGGACATTACATTTAACTTTAAGAAAATTACAGAGTAAGAATCTGAAACAACCTATTAGGTTGAACTCTTAGCTTTTACTCCTATCTTTCTCTGGCTACTCACCAAAGGGCACCCTCGTTGTTACAGTTAGTTCAACAGTTTATATTAGCAGCAGAGTTTATATTAAAGATTGGTTACAAACTATTTAAATAAATAAGTATAATTAAAATAAACTTACATACGGCATACCTAAAAAAGGTAGTACTAAATGTTTATAAAATTAATATTTCACAGTACCTGAAAATCAGCCTCTGTGAACATATATACATTATTCCATCCAAGATGTTGAAATCTGTTCCTTTCAAGAAGAACAGAATGAAAAAATGATAACGTAAATAGCAGACTTTTGTATTTCCCCATATTCCCACTGGATTCAATCTCACCTTCCTTTTCAAGAGAATCATATAATTTCAGCATATTTGCTTTAATTCCCTGTAATGAACAGATTTTCATCACTGCTTGAATAGCAGCAGATGTTTTCAACATAACTACATAAACACTTTTCTAAATTTTACTTTAAAAAGAATGTGGCAAGGAAAAGACAGAAAATTGAAAAAAAATATTATTTAATAAATTTTTAAAAAAAATTACCAATAATTAAAATTACAACATTCATTCAGATTTAGGAGATATGCATTAAATTTTATAATAAGTTTTATTATTTAGTAATTAATTTACTATTATTATTAGTTATTACTTTTATAAAAATTCATGGTCTACTTACACTTTTACTAAAAAAGTAAGCAATCAAGGCAAAACATAGAATAAAACAAAATCCGTTTAATGGATATGCGTGAAATTGGTATAAGTGTGGCATTACTAGATCACATAAGCGAACAATACAGAAAGATAGACATAAACACATGCATTACGACCATCAAATTGCGAAAGATCAAATGGGTCGGAAGAATGTGAAATGGGAACGTCATAATAATAACAGGTATGATACCCTTTAGCTGAAACGCATGCTTGACAATGGCGAGCCAAGCTGGCAATAGTGTCGCTGAGCGCTTGCGGTGGCAATAGCCCCTATTTCTATAGTAGTACATGTCGAAGATCGTTGAGGGTGCCTGGTGGCACACTACGACCTGCTATCTATAGTTCCGACATGTCTCATACATGCTCTATGAGATTCAGGTCAGAGGATCTATTAGTCCACGGCAGATGTGGAATGGTTTCACTCTCCAGATAACTCCGCACCAGTCGAGCTCTATGCGGGCGGGATCTATCGTCTATAAATATGGTGTCGGACCCACTACAGCGATAAAAGGACGCATAAGAGGATGTAGAATTCCGTCACTATATATGATGGTTGTGATGGAACCACCAGGAAATCTGTAGAGGTCTGTGCAGCCTTTTGTTGCTGTATACCAGCACATACACGAAATCCTCATCCTCTGTAATGTTCTCTTTCGACGATGTTTGGCGCCGGATAACATGTCCCTGGTTCTTATCATAGCATTGCCCTTCTGGAATGGTTCCGGATATTAAATCGAGATTCATCCGTAAACACTATGTAGCCCCATTGCTCTGGTATCCAATAGCAATGTTCACGGGCCCAATTCAACTGCTCTCTGGCATGCGATGGGGACAAAGGAACACAAACCATAAATCGTTGGGCGTACTATCCACATTCGTGCAGTCGATGTGACACAGTTTGGCGGGATATGGGCAGTCGTGCAACAGAGGAGATGCGACATCAGCTGTCGTGCTGTAAGTGATCTACCGCGTTTTGCACATAGGAGCAACAGGAAGCGATCGCCTGGTTTTGTCTTCCGGTGTTTAAACCCTCGTTTCTACAAAGGTTTTGATCCCTTTGGTAATGATTCCACCGCCTATTGATGACACTACGATGCACATTCAGCTTAACAACGGATTGCCTTGCACCAGCTTGTAACATTCCGGCAGCCATCCAAAGCATTTCGTTGCGCTAATGCTGTCTTCGTCTCATGCTTTATGCTTTGCTTATCTTGGATTATACGGAATTATCGCTTTTTTCGAATTGACGCATAGGTTCGGTATGCTTTTTTTTTTTTTTTTTTTTTAAGGCGTTGCAGTGTAACTGCGGGATTGCGTTTTATGCTAATTTTGGTTGCCTATTTATATTCGGAGACGCAACTTCTACCTTATATATAAGTTGTATGTTTTAATTTCCCTTTTTAGATTTGTATCTTTTCTTTTAGCGTTTGTTGCTCATTTTTTAGCACCAGTGTATTTCAATGATAAAATACAATACCAAAATTAATTTTCATAATGTTTTCCCATTTTGAAAATTAATTAATAAGGGAAAATTCGAATTAATTACAAAAAATTAGATTAATTAATAGAAAAATTATAAATTAATTAATAAGAAAACATTATGAAAATAAATAAGAAAAAATTAGGGACTTGATTTAAACATTAACAGCTGGAGATTGCCTCAGAACAAAAATATTTTCAGGGAAGATTTTCTGCAAGAAATGGGCTTGTATTTAAGCTATGAAAAGGAAAACTTGTACCACTTATCGAGACATAATGTATGAAAACATTTGGTGTGAAATGATTAGTTTTAACTTTTCGATTGTCTTTGATTATTTTAGCTAGGTATCGAAGAATGTTTACTGTTATGCAACATGACAGCATAAAAGTAACATATATATTATTATTGAAAAGAAATCCGTAATACCTGACATTTGTTTGTAATTGAAAAGATATCAACATAAAATTTTTGAAATAATTAAAAGTATTATTATACTTGAAAAAGCATTACAAGAATTTCTGCATATTTAAACACTGCAGCATATAGAGAAAATTGAAAACAAAACTTCTATATTCAATTTTATAAAATTATATACAGAGAAGACATACACTACCCGACGTTGAAAATGCAACACCAAAAAGGAGTGGCCCGAAAATTATGCAAATTTCAGAGTATACGCACGTCACCGAGTCATTAGAATGATGTGAAATGCGCAGCTCTCCAGCGCACGTTGAAGAAGATTAAGGGAGGGAACCTGCAGAATGTTCAAGTTTGGTGCCGTTATTTCTGCTAGGGAAGTCATCGTAGAAAATTTGTTTTTGTCTCAGAGGACGCGTGTAATAGCAAAGAATGACAGGCCGTCATCAACGGAGGCAGTTCCAGCAGACTTTACGAGAGGCATGGTGATCGAACATAGAAGGGCAGGTTGGTCCATACGGCAAATCTCAGCTGACACACACCTGGACGCCACCACAGTGCAGCGACGACGGTTGGAACAAGGACATGTGGCAAGTTCGAGGGGTGCCGGTGCAGCCAGAGTGACGTCAGCACGCATGGATCGACGCATCAGCTGACAAGTGGTGAAGCATCTGCAAAACACTTCTACCGCAATTCTGCAGCATTCTTTTCAAGACACCCTGCATGCTCCTATATCGACCAGAACCATTCGCCTTTGCGATTTGCCGAGCGATGTGAACGACGGAATAGCACAGGGTCGTGTTCTCAGATGAGTCATACTTCTATTTCTAAAATCATAGTCGCCGCGCACGAATGCAACTTCGATGTGGAGACAGGTCCAATCCGGAAGCAATTGTACGTAGAATGCCACACCGCGCGAGAGCACGCTTCATGGTTTTCTGGCGCAATAGCGTAAGATTCCACGTCACTTCTAGTTTGTATTCAGGGCACTATAACGGCCCACAGTCTTCACAGACAGTGTCAACTCTTCTAGAGCTAGAAAATCACAGCCACATCTCGCCCTTCATCATCAAATTACAGTAACTATTACAGCGTAACTAGCAGAAACATCTCTCCTTCACAAGGATCAAGGCACATGCAAAAAATTAGGGGAATAAAGCAGCTGATAGTTTGGCCGAGCAAGCGGACACTGATTCCAGATGGTGAACCAATCACGATCCCAGCCCCTCCATCCTACCTCAAAGGGCTATTACGGGGTCAAGGCTTAAACTTTTGGCAGGAAGACTGGACGCACTGCACAACTGGAAGACGTACAGACAGCTACCTGCCGAAAGTCAGAACTAAATGCAACATTGCAATAACTCCTCTCACGGCTTATATTACAGGATACGGCCCATTCCCGACCTACTTCAATAGACATGGCATAACAACCACGGACATATGCGTCTGCGGAATGGAAAGCTCTCCAGACCACTACGTTTTTGAATATCATCTGACAGCAGGAAATCACTTCCCTCTTCCCACCAACAATAGACAAGGCTATCATCGTTTCTTTATAAAGCACAAACCGGCAGTAAATATAATCTGAAAAACTGTCAAACACTCACGGAAATGGGCCAAGATTTATGCTCTCCTCATTAGCCAAAATTTGCAAGGCATGATACACTAAGTCATCAAGTAGTTCCACATCCGCAGACATATAAGTCTACCCATAAAGTTTACATAAGCAATCAATAAGCATACAATAAGCATACAATAAGCATACAATATCACCATAGCAAATAGCAACAGCAAGACACAATTCAAATAAAATGCAGTCAAATGTTTCCAGCATATATTTAACGTTTTCTCTTCTATATATGCATAATACTTAATGTTTTATACCTATCAGCCTGTAATGTAATTCTATTATTTTATAACTATATTTTTGTATTTGTATCTTTAATTGTATTTGTATTTTATTTGCATTTTATTATGAATATGAATAATCACCATAGCAAATAGCAACAGCAAATGTCAACACAGTACAGCAAATTCAATCTGTCCTTGTCTGGCCATGTAAATGCTCTTTTCAACATCCTAACAAACTTCCGAGGCGGCCTGTTGAGGCCCAGAGAGTTGTTTCTGGTTAGTGGAGAGTGTGGGACACACGCCTGTTTACCTCTGCTAAACATCAGGCGTCCCCGTCCTCCATCACCAATCAACGACCAACCAACCAACAAACTGAGCTGGCGCTGTTATCGCTCTGTATTACGCTTATCATTTCGAAATAAATATAACTTATTGTTCGTTGTTGTCTCTCTGTGTTTGCCGAGTTTCATCACTTTGTAGCCATTCCTTCTTGTGTTGCATTTTCAATATCAGTTAGTGTAAAAAGATTTCTATTTCGCTCTCATCCCGAGGAAGAAGATACCTGTGAAATGAAGTACAACGGAATTTCAACTATACCCGCTATCATGCGTCATAAATGTACATCGAAATACCTACAGAAAAATGACAGTCCATTTATCTGGAAAATACAGATAAATTAGGGAAGGGATTTGATCAGGGTCCGAAGTTTCACGGAGAATTTCGCAAATTTAAGGACTTTTTTAAGCTTTCTTGCGAGTATTTCCCATATTTATTTTTTTAATAGTTCATACTGTAAGGATCTTAAGTTTTACTAACGTTTATTTTATTTTAAATCTTTACTATCACTTCTTATTTTCTACTTCCGGCCAGAATTAAAAGCTTCAACTTATTTATGCAAATTTGTCTGGCGAACGCCAAGTACTTA